CTCTTCCCGAATCAAATCAAGAGGCGATTAAACCTTCAAATGAGTGAGGCTCTGATACCAATCATTGAGTTAATCGATTGATGGAATCGGCCAAGAGGGGGTGAATTGGCAATAAAAATTTTGGTGGAAGATTTTGCAGAAAATTGAAAGTAATTGCACAACGATTTACAGTGGTTCGACTTTATCAACCAAAGTCTACGTCCACTGCCTTAGCTATCCACATTAAGGATTTTTCAACAAATTCAGTAATTTGTTCTTTCTTTTGAGGCCAAAGAGATAACCTTACAACTCCCTCAAGAATATACCCTAATTCTTAAGAATACTCTTTTCTCAAAGAGAATATTACAAATTTGCAAACTTACAAGAAAAACATCACAAGACAAATATGTTTGCACAATTCTAGAACAAAGAAAGAACACTCAAGAATAAATACAATTGAGCACAATAAGTGTTCTTGAAAGCAAAATGAATATTGAATGAAAAATAGGCTTGAAATGCTCAAACTTGAGGTTTGATGCTTTCTCTTTGATTCTCTCTTGATTCTAGTTGCTTGTTGTTTCTTTTTTTATCAATGGCTTCTAAGCTTGTTTAAATACACCTTCAAATGATTCTAAACGTTGGGGATGATTAGTGGAGTCAATAGAGTCGTTATTGTGTGAAACCAATTAATAAAACTGGTTGGGAGCGTCGGTGCATCAGTGTAAAATTCAAATATTTTGACCGTTGGAACACTTAGTGCATCGATGCACCAAGTGTGCATCATGCATAAAATGCATTCGATGTTTGAAAATAGCCTGAGTGCATCGGTGCATTGCTTGTGCATCGATGCATGAAATGCATTCGATGTTTTAATGAAACCCAAGTGCATCGATGCATAGAGAGTGCATCAATGCATGAAATGCATTCGATGTTCAATTTATTCAATGGTGCATCGATGCATGGATTGATGCATCGGTGCATGCCTTTGAAAAATTGATTTAAGGCTTGATTTTGGTTCAAAATACTTTGTGAAAATTGTTTCAAAAATAGTTTAAGTACAAATCACAATTTTACACTTTTAGTAAGGATTAAAACTGATATTGAAAGACTTGGAGTAATAATTTGATATCAGATTAATTAATTCGAATATACCTTAGAAAATCATTTGTAAAATCTTTAAATTCATTTAACTTAATTTGTTATATCGAAATATCAAAATGTTTTCAACACTTTTTATGGGACCACCTTAATATGCTTAATAATTAAGCATTTACTTTGCTGCTGTAATTTTATCACATTTTTTATCTCCATAATTTTCTTAACTTTTTTAGATTTGCTTGTTGCTTCCTAGCTTTGCCTACAATCTAATTTGACTTTCAACTTTCTTAGAAATCAAGTTTGATTTCTAACACTCCCCCTCAAACTTGATTTTCCATTCCGATTTTCTCTGTTTATCATCTCCAATCGATTCTTCATTTCTTGGCAAGTGCACATTACTACGGCTATGTATTCTTCTTTGTTTTTTCGGCACCTTGGAGAGATTTTTGCAAAATATTCCACGCTTGTTTTGCGATCTTCGCATCAGAAATTTTTTCAACGGTAGATTCGTTACTTCTTGAAAAATAAAGAACAACACTCTTTTATTTTTTTTGGGATTCCTTCAATACCTTCTTTTCTTCATTGGTCAGGGCTGCTTCTGCTACTGCATTTTCAGACTCGGTAACCATCCTCAACAATATCCCAACAATCTTGAGAGCCTAGTAACGCCTTCATTTGAATGCTCCAATTGTCATAATTCGTCTTTGTCAATCTCAGGATTTGTGGTTGAGTCATGTTGGCCATCTTTTCTACCACGTTAAACTCGAACCAAGCTCTGATACCACTTGTTGGAAGCGTAGATGGGCTCTCAGTAATTTATATAACTCGAACTATTATTAATACGAGGCAAAATACATTACAACGACGTTACCCCAATATTACAATATTACAACATTAGATGTGCTAGTTTACAAACACAACCTCAATATCCTAAGCTTTGCTAAGCTCTCTCAAATTCTCTCTAGCTTTTCTAAGCTTTCACTCATATTCTATCTCATATGTATTCATATATTTATAATAGTTAAAAAACCATCTACTTTTGCTCTGGATGCTTCTCAATTTCTCTCCATTATTGGAGCCTTAATACTTGTTTGACGTGGTGAACACATTTGCTGCAAATTTATCTCTTTTTATGGGATCACCTTAATATACTTAATAATTAAGCATTTACTTTGTTGTTGTAATTTCATCACATTTTTTATCTCCATAATTTTCTTAACTTTTCTAGATGTTGCTTGTTGCTTCCTAGTTTTGCCAACAATCTAGTTTGATTTTCAACTTTCTTAGAAATCAAGTTTGATTTCTAACATATATATATATGCTTAATATATGCATATACCACTTAATGTCCATCAAAATTCACCAAAATATGATATATGTGACAAACAAATGTTGCTACTAACTTTTTAGCTGGTTGGAGCTGTGGTCGACCGCTTGGAATTGTCAAACTGTTGGAATCGTCTTAGGAACTTCAAATTATATTGCAAAATGACATTATTGGGATCTAATTAATTATTAACTTATCTCTGCATGAGGAAAAAAATCACCAAAATTGGCTTTTAGGAATAACAATCCAACAAAATTCAACTTTTGGTATCTTTTTAATTTAATTCCTAAATTTCTAATTTTACTTATTAATTTCTAAATGAATTTTGAATTGATCATCATTTAATCTAATAAATTTAACCGAATTAAACACACTTTTCAATGATTCAAATGGATATTTTGATCATCAAAATTATAGAAATTTGAATTGGAAAATAAAGAATGTTGTCATTTTACTTTACAAATTGAGCATAGTGACCGCCATCCTAAAGTGTGAAATTGATATATTAGGTTTCATGGAATTAAATATCCAAATAGGTGCAGGATCAGTGACTTTTGTTTTTAAAATGCCACCATCCTTACTAGTGCATCACACATGGACCACACAAACCACGACTTTGATCATTTATTAAATGCTTTCCATGCCATTTGCATGGTAAAATCTTACAACTATTCCCGCCCATAATTTGACTTGTCTTCGATTATGGTATTGGATCGAGGGATCAAAAATGATATTCAAATCTAAAATCACAAGTAAAGAGGCTTTTAAAAACTAATAAATTAAATAATTATTTTATTAATCAAAACAATTGCTTAAAAATAATTTAATGGCCTCGTACATATTTTTCCATTGCTTTTTTTGGCTTTTGATTCTGACTTCCCTGCATGGCAATCAACCATATAGACATTAGATATTTTTTAGATTCTTCCAAATTAGGTCTGTAGTAGTTGCCAATTAATGGCATACGTGTACACCTTTACGTGGCTCATTTCATTATGGGACCAATCATGATAGCCTTCAAAACTTAAATATCTTCACTTTCATGCAACGGTGAACAGTACAACGTTTGGCCACGTGTGTAGATTTTGGGACTTGTCTGCTGACGTGCTCTGCTCTGCCGACAGTTTTCCAAAACCATGCCCAACTTAATCTATGAGAGGAAAAAAAAAGTATAGCAAGGCCTGAATACATAAAAATAAACTGCTTAAATGGTATTTCAGCACTCGAACTTTATCTAAAATTTAATTGAGTCCCTTCACAAACTATACTTATTTTGAGTAATTGAACTTGAAATTGTATTAATTTCAGCAAGACCTGTCACCTTCTTTAGTAGAAAAATACAAGAAATCACGAGATTAAAATTTTGGATTAAGTTCAAAATATTTTATATAATATTAAGAATCTATTAACCAATAACATACAGGGACAAGGGAAAATGCAATCGGTACCATCAAGTGAAAAACACGTAGCACTTGCTAAAAAAGATGAGGGTTCTAAAGAAAGTGAAAATATCCCACTCGAATTGGCAGTGTCACGGCCCACCTGGCCGCCACCTCCACCGCTTTCCTCCTCCTTCCACGGTGCCATGCGCCTCCATTTCCAATCACTACTTCATGTAATTGTTGGCCTTTTCGTCATGTGTTTCTCTGATACATATATATATATATATATATATATATATAACATTGTATGCTTTGATTTCTTTTTAAAAAGAATGTTGTTTGTTTATTTATTTAAAAATAAAAGGATTTTTTTACCTAAAGGATTTAGGTTTAAATAATTACATAGGTACTACGTGTACTCGTTATGAATGATTAAGAAAAAATTTAGACATACACTTCCGTTAAAAATCATTTAATGAAAAACAATGCCACGTAGACAACAATATGTTATGTAAAAATTGAGTCTGAATTGAAATTGAATTTATATAATTATGAGAATAAAAGCGCAAACAAGATATTATAAAGTCAATCAAAATTCATATGTAATTTTAAATTTTATTTCGATATATATAATTGACATGCTTTTACCTTTAGTGTTATGATGGGCTTCTTTTCATAATGGGTTTATTGTAGTTAAATTATATGGACTCTAACCACCTCTCGATACAAAAGATGTTGGGCTCTTACACGTTGGTTAAAACGTGACCCTCTGTTAATTAATTAATCACTAATTAAGCAAAAATTATATGTAAAACATAACACATCAATATTTTAACTTGTGTAATAAGTATTATTAATGATAGTTAATTAATAAATTTTATTTTTTAAAATTGTTTTAATCTAAAACATGTTAAAAATTAAAATGTTCCAAAGAGAAAAAAACGAATAATTATTAGATCAAATATTAAAAATACATTTTAATGTTATACATTTTAAGATGATTAACATTAAAAAAAGGATAAAACGTTAGATGGAATGAGAATATAAGGGTTAAATCAATTAAAAACATAGTAAAAGGGTCAAAGCTTTTTTAATTACTCTTTGGCTAATTACTTAAAAATTCAATTATTTTCTAGTCCATCATTTTACAATACATTAATTAGGTAATCTAATAATTAAAAAACAAAAGGGCGGGATTTAAATAGCAGACGCTACTTATCAGTCATCCAAATAAAACACCAAAAAGTCAACACTCCGACCAGAAGCTCACCATTTGCTAGTCCAAAGCAAGGAGAAGACGACCGATGGAAACTAAAAGCGGTGGCGCCGAGGGAGGATCGGCTTCGGAACCGGCGAACATGATACTCCATAATGCTGTGATCGTCACAATGGACTCCGACAGCCGAGTCTTTCAAAACGGAGCCGTTTTCATCGACCAAGACAAAATCAAAGCCATCGGTCAATCTTCCGAGATTCTTCGGCAATTCTCCGCTCTGGCTCATCACATCATCGACCTCCACCGTCAAATCTTGCTTCCTGGTACTACTTTACCGTTTCAGCTTTCGTTTTATAAGGAAATCGATAAGAGAAATTGATTGGTTCTTTTGGGCGTTTGTGCCGTAGGATTCGTCAACACACACGTGCACACCTCGCAGCAACTTGGTAGAGGAATCGCCGATGATGTTGATCTAATGACGTGGTTGCATCATCGGATTTGGCCGTACGAATCCAATATGACTGAAGAAGACTCTTACATCTCGACTTTACTCTGCGGAATCGAACTTATTCGCACCGGTGTAAGCTTTGGATTAGTTATTGGTCTAATTATGTTTTAATCCTTTATTTTGCTGAAATTTGATATTTAATACCTCTGCTTTATTTTGCATGTTAATTTAAGCTTCAAGTTGATAAGAACATCAGTTGCTGCAGTCAAAGTCATTATGTTAATTTTGAATGGCATAATTTCAATGAGAGTAGTAAATAGTGTCATCATTATGGACTTGCTAACAATATGATGAAGTAATGATTCTTTTTTCTTAGGAATTTTTATTTATCCAACTATCCAAAAGGCAGATAAACTGCTAATGTGTATCAGTCAAGATCAAGATACAAACACGGTAGAATTAAGCCCAAGCATTATATAGTGTGATATTAAATTGTCTACTTTAGATCATGCAACCTAAAAGTTATCGTTTCCTTGATTTTCTCTAGTATCCATCATTCCTGCTCGCTTTCAGCATAGTAGAGGAGTAAATTACATCAAATTAAAGTGGAGGTCAAATTTCATACTCATAAATCATAATCTTTTTCCTGAACTTTTTGGTGATAATTTTCGAAACAGGTCACATGCTTTTCTGAAGCGGGAGGGCAGCACGTGACTGGGATGGCAAGAGCTGTTGAATTGCTGGGATTGCGAGCCTGTTTAACAGAATCGATCATGGATTCCGGCGAGGGTTTGCCGGCATCTTGGGGGATTCGAACAACGGATGAATGTCTTCAGGTTAGGCTTAAAGTGATTAATGTTCCATTTGCAATTATTAATGTTTTATTATTGCTTTTAAAGTTTAAATGCTTTGCATGACCAAAGCTCTCAATTTGCGCAGTCTCAAAAGAAGCTTTACGAGAAGCACAATAATACAGCAGACGGCCGTATAAGGATATGGCTTGGAATTAGGCAAGTTATGAACTCAACTGATCGTTTACTGTTTGAAACCAGAGATGCTGCCAGAGAATTAAAAACTGGCATCCATATGGTACACAACTTCTATTTTATCTTTGTTTCTGCTTTGCAAAGAAGGGGTTAAACGTGGATTATGGAGGGGTGGAGTTTGTTTGTTTTTAAGGTATTTTCGGCTGATCTTCCTCTGTTTAGCATGTTGCAGAGATACCATTTGAGAACCAACTTGTGACGAAAACTCGGAAAGTTGATCATGGGACAGTTACATTTTTAGATAAGATAGGATTATTGCAAGAAAACTTATTGGCAGCTCATACAGTGTGGGTAAATGACACCGAGGTGAGCTGTGTGCTGCTGCAATACTTATGTGTTACATTTGGTTGAACTACAATTCAATGCAATGCACGATTTCCTATCATGTTACCGCATAATGTGCTGAATGGAAGTTGAATAAAGTTAATGTTTACTTTGTTATTGATAAGTACATCTGGTATCCTGTATCGTTTCTCCATCTGTGTCTCATTCTTATTTGTTGTTGTCTAATATTTGTCATGTTTTTCTTCAGATTGATTTTCTTTCTCGGGATGGGGTCAAAGTATCTCACTGTCCTGCTTCTGCTATGCGAATGCTTGGATTTGCACGTGTAAGGGAGATGCTCAATGCTGGCATCATTGTCTCCCTGGGCACAGATGGGGCACCTTCTAATAATAGAATGAGCATTGGTAGGTTTAACCTCTGAAACATGGATTCTTTGTGCATTTTCTGCATAATGAAAACACCACTGTGCTTAGTAGGTTTGTGTGCTTTTTCTGTACTGTGAACAAGGCTTCCCTTTTAGAATCCTGAAAATTCACTGTATGTAAAATATGTTCAGTAGACATTATTTTCTTACAAAATTTGCTGAACTGTGAGCATAAGGAGACCAACTGTAGCATGTATGGTCTACTTCTTAGAATCTTACAACATAAAATGATTATACTGTCATCTTAGAAATGTGACGGGCAACAAGCTTGTTGATCACGACTTTTTTTTTAACAGTTTGAACTTCTTCCTTGCAGTTGATGAGATGTACCTAGCTTCTCTGATTAACAAAGGAAGGGAAGTGTATGCGAAGGGGACAACTGATCCCACAGCCCTCCCTGCTGAAACAGTTCTCAAAATGGCAACCATTAATGGTGCAAAATCAGTACTCTGGGACAACGAGATAGGGTCGCTTGAGATTGGGAAAAAGGTAAAAACAACATCATAATTGATTTAAAATGGACAAATGATTAAAATATAGGACTAAAATATAACATTCAGACTGATTGCTATTTTTGTTACTTATTTGGTAGGCTGACATGGTTGTTGTCAATCCTTTCTCATGGTCTATGTTTCCTATCCATGACTGGTGAGTATGAAATCATTCGTGATGAAAAGAAAGTAAAATTCGATGATTTGTTTTATTAGATTCTTGGTTTTACTTTTCCAGTTGCATACAAGCAACTGGTATTTTGTTGACGATGAAATTTCGTCTTTAATATTTGCAGCATTTCCAACCTTGTATATTGCATGCGAACTGAGAATATCGTCTCTGTAATGTGCAACGGTCGGTGGATCATGAGAGATAAGAAGATCTTAAATGTGGATGAGGTATTAATATTATCTGTTTCATTTCCTCTATTGTCAACTTAATGTTGTTTGTTGATTCATCTATATATATACGGCATACATCCCATGCTCCTGCATCTGAGTTCATTCCGGCACATCCTTTTTTTTTCTTCAACTTCTGATTTATTATGCAGAAGGGGAAAAAAATAATGTACAGGTCCTGTACTATAGCACAGATTTTAGTACTTATACGTTCAAAATAAGCAAAAAGATCCATGTACTTTAGAAAAACGATCAAAACGGTCGTTTTTATAACAACTGAAAAAATTGTTAATTTTATGATGTGGACTTAAGGCATGTTCGCTCGACCCATTGTAGCTTAAAAAACCCTTACTGTTGGATAGGTGAATAGGGTATGAAATCAGATCAAATTAAATGCAGCATGTTCAAGTTTTTCAAGTTACAATGGGTCGAATAAAAATGCCACATCATACTTTAAATTAATGTTAGGTCATTTAACTAATCATCGTATCTCATAAAATTAACAGTTTTTTTTTCAAATGTTACAAAAAAATGTTCATTTTACTCTTTTTTTCTCATTTTAAAAGTAGAAGAACCAAAACACATTCCGCACTATAGCTCAGGGACATGTAGATGCAATTACTGAAAATAGGGTGCAAGGATGAAATCTTAGTACCAAGTTGCTAATGCATATGGGAAATGCGAATGGTGAGTGTATTTCAGGAGGAAGTTATATCATTAGCAAAAGAAGCTTCAAGCAAACTTTTGAAAAGAGCTGGCATCATAATACCAAGCAGAATGAATGTCATGTGATTGTTGGATTAGCAAGAGAAGCCCCTCCATCTCTCATCCCGCTGATAGCCTGATATTGTCACCGTTGGAATGGTATTGTTGTTCTATGTTTACATGAAAGATCCTTGATCTTTGTAAAACTAAAATTTACATAAATAAAAAAATAAATTAAACTTGTTCTGACGTGAGATTAATGTTTCCTACCTATGACATTAAAGGAAATGATCATCCAGTTCAGTTGGTAGAGCACAATGTTCTTAACCTTAAGGTCGTGGGATCGAGTATCATGGAGGACATTTCATAATTCGGAGGTCTCCTACGGAAGTTGCTCTCAATCTAGTGTTAAGAGCAGTCTACTATCTTACCTCCCTTTATCCCATTACATATGGGAATAAGGGACAACCATTTTTTACCTATGACATTAACATACCACTTTCGCCTGATCACGATTATTATTGATTAACATGCTTACAAGTGATAATAGTTGTTTTAAAAATATTATTATTTAATAATCAAACATAAAATTCAAAATTATTAATTTACTTGGGATATGTGACAAAATTTGTTTGATTGTTGAATCCGTAATGGTGTTAATACGAATTTATCTAATTTAAATTTAATATACAAAAATTAAACCAAAAAATATTCAGAAAAAAGCAAAAACATCTAACGAAATTAAAATCGAAGAGGACTCATTCGTCATATAAAACAAAAATGAGGCATCAGAGGATAAATTTTCCATAATTTCAACCCTTCATTTCCGTCTCTAGCATCCTCTGTTGTCTTTAAAAACCCACTCTTATCCATCAGTTAAACTCATCATTCAGCTCCAGATATTTCCCATGGCGGCTTCTTTCGTATCCCTGGTATTTCCCCCTAATTGCCATATCTTATTATACCTTGATTGTTTCCCCCCTTTTGTCATTATCTTGTTAACATTATTTCTTCCTTTGCAGTCAAATGTGGGTTTGCTTTCAGGTCCAAAAACCCTATCAAAGAATCAAACGCCATCGCCAACGTGCAGTGCCGTTAAGCTTCCTCGAAAGCTCTCGGTTTCGTCTTCATCTTCATCGTGCTTCTTCTCTAGGTCATTTCGTCTTCCTTCTCTTAATTCAACCCAAACTAATCCCCGTGTTCTCCGCCATATTCGGGCCAGTGCTGAGGTCAGAGGTTTTGGGTTTCCCTTATTCTTTACTAGTATTTTCTTACGAATTGTAAATTTGAAATCATGGTAATAAAGTATTGATCTTTGATATGAGATTGTAGGTGGCACCTGTAGAATCAAAAATAACAAACAAGGTGTATTTCGATATAAGTATTGGAAACCCGGTGGGTAAACTGGCTGGAAAAATTGTGATTGGATTGTACGGTGACGATGTGCCCCAGACTGCTGAGAATTTCCGTGCTCTTTGCACAGGTTTTGTATATTGTTTTTTTCCCTCTCTAATTGACGTGGTTTTGAGAACATTGTTGTAATTTTGGTATTAGCGAAGTTTTTGAATTGGTGGCAGTATTTTAATTTTCGATTATCGTCTGTTCTTGTAGGCGAGAAGGGCTTTGGTTATAAAGGTTCCGCTTTCCATCGTGTCATTAAAGATTTCATGATTCAAGGAGGGGATTTTGATAAAGGAAACGTGGGTATTCATGCTATTTTACCTTTTTATGTTTCGCAGCGCTACTGAGTTTTCCTTTGAGCCGTTAGTTTAATGTAAAAGCTTGCAATAGTATTCATAGTCTTAGTGGCATCTGAGCCAATAATGCTGCAACGAATTCAGAAAGATCAATGCTTCTAAAACCTGGCCGTTACGATCATACTGGAAGTAGTTAGTAAAATTGAAATTGGTTTGCCTTGTTACCTAGTCTGGCAAACATAATCTCCATGTTTCATGTATATAAAGTATGCCGCCCTTACTCTTTTCTGATGTTGCCAAAAGCTACATATCTGGTTATCATTTGGCATATCTGTGGTGCTCTTGCTATCCTTTCGGGATTTATATATTGATAAATGAGGGGATCTTAAATATATCTGGAGACTTGTTCATCTTAATGACCATTCCAAATCCACAATGGTGGACTTAGGGCTTCGTCTGTAATGTTGGCTTCAACACTTAGATGCATGACTTTCTGTGATTTTAGTTTTTCTTTATCCGTTCTTGGAGTCTCACATGGAATTGCTTTCTGTTAATTTATTTTCATCTTTATTTTATATTGAATATTTGCAATTTCATCGGCTGATTCTTTAAAAAGAATTACTGGCATCTTCCAAGTAGATCCGGAATGTAGGCATTTATCCTCTTCCTAAATCCTAATGCTCAATAAAGCAATGACTTTTCATTTATCATTTATTTATTCAGGGAACTGGAGGCAAAAGTATATATGGACGTACCTTCAAAGATGAAAACTTCAAGTGTAAGCTGATTGTTATTTTTTGTATCAATATAGAAATGAAATTGGCATATCCATGTTTTTGCAAGATTGTGGCATCAGAGGTCTGGAGGATTCATTCTTTAGGATAAACTAACTTTTCATTCTTTAGGATAAACTAACTTTTCATTCTTTAGGATAAACTAACTTATGAAGTTATTATCTCTTTTATCTTCTTTCCCCTTCATCAAAGATATGAGCAGCAATCTCGAGCCATCCGGTATGCTGTTAATTAAACTTTAGTTTGTCAGGAACCACCGGACAATGTTTCCAGATTTCTGTCTTATGGTTGTCATTTAAACTGCCTTTAATGCACAGTTCCTGCATATATTCTGATACATAAATTGTCCTGCAGTAACCCATACTGGACCCGGAGTTGTTAGTATGGCAAATGCTGGCCCAAACACCAATGGCAGCCAATTTTTCATTTGCACTGTCAAGGTATGTGATTACTGTTCAGTTAAAGAATGATGCTATGGTAGCACACTAGTTTTAGTTTTGAGTTTAATGTTGTCATCATAGTTTTACACTCTGGCATTACTTGTTATGGTTGATGGCGATGCTTTAGTTGACAAAAATTTCTGAAAGACTGGACATTGTGGTGGCCGGCATAAAATCGAATAGATCATTGTTAATGGAACATCATCATGTTTATTATCATTTACCCTTTGCTAAACCTCATTGCAAACATTACATTATACTCAAGAACTTATTGTTTCTGTACTGCTCAATCCTAAACCATCTCGAGTACAGTAACGGGTTATTGTGCTTGCATGTTTTTGAGGCATGTTGGCTTTACGTCGGCCATCTATCATCTCCAGTTAGCAATAAACAGGAGCTATTTCCAATGGTTTCTTTTAGTCTTGTGGTTCGGTTATATTTACGTATAGCTTCTGTTAATACATGTATTCATACTCTTGGAAAATCGCAGACACCCTGGCTGGATCAAAGGCATGTCGTATTCGGGCAGGTTTTGGAGGGCATGGACGTTGTTAAGCTGATTGAATCACAAGAGACTGATAGAGGAGACCGTCCTAGAAAGAAGGTGGTGATCAGTGATTGCGGTGAGCTTCCAATTTCCGAACTCTGATTCTAGTTCATCCATCTTTTTTTCCGATCTTCGGATTAGTTTACTCCATATAAAGGCTCTAGTTTAAATGAATGTTGAGTTTCTAGAGGAGGGTTTTATTTTCTTTATCTCATGTATGAATGAATACAAGGAACGATGAACTCTCTACTCAAAGACATTTTGAAAATGACTGAGCTTCCTTTAAAGCCATTTTGTTTCATTTTCTCGAAAGGTTAAAGGGAGCGGGGAGCCAATGGCCATGCAAATCCATCATACATTCTGATGATTTACTATTCTGAAATTGTGTTACATTTCACAATTTCAGAGTGTGATGCCATCAACCCGATGATTAACGTGGATAAAAAAATTAATAACTATCAAATTTATGAATTAAAATTATTTCAGTCCTTAAAAAACGAAAATGATTTTTCAGAAATAATAACAAGAAATTAAAATAAACAAAACTAATTTAATTAATGCAATTAACAGAGAATTGAATAAATTAAATGAAAATGTCTCTTATAATGAATTTTCTATAAAATCTAAACTAAGATTAATTGATAATAAGTTAATTATCGATGATTAAATAAAAAAAGATATTATCAATTTTGACGTAATAAAGAGATTAAAAACAAATTCGTAGCTTTTATTAATAATAGTGGAAGTAGGAGTGAGACCACTTTTCCACTTTCCTCAAGAATTTTTCCTATGAATGCTACCTTCCAACAACATATCCATTATTACATCCTATTCATTTATCAGTATCACAATCAACACATTGTCGCTGTTTTCTTCATTTATATCTTCAGCTTCTTTTTCCTGATCTCACCATGGCTTTCATTGGAGAGGCTGCTCTTTCTATGCTTTTGGGTCTGTTGCTCGGCAAGTCCATCAATGCTGCTCTAAACTTTGTTGCTGATCACAAGCAATTGTACGACCAGCTCAAGGAGTGGAAGTCCGTATTGCCCGATATCAAAGCAGTGCTGAACCATGCAGAGGAGAAGCAGATCAAGGACGAGAGTGTGAAGAGTTGGTTGGAAGATCTCCAAGACTTGGTTTATGATGCGGATGAAATCTTGGACGAGTCTGCTTATGAACAGTTACGTCTCAACCTCCACAAAACTCAGCCTCAACCCAGACTTAGTAAGATACGGTCCTTCCTGGTTTACTGGCAGCAGTTCCACTCCATCCTCATGTCTCTTTAAAAATGCCATGATTCCCAAGATGAAAGAGATCACTGCTAGGCTCAACAGTCTGGCTACACGAAGAAGTGGTTTGGGGTTGAGTGAGATCTTGTCTCAAGCTGCAAGCTCCGAGTGAAAAAAACCGGCCAGGCCACAACCTACTTCTGTGGTGGATGGAGCTGTGGAGTATGTTGGTAGAGACAATGAGAAACTAGAAATGATTGATTTGCTCAAAACTAATAACTCCAATGGAGTTTGTGTCCTTTCCATCGTTGGCATGGGAGGGATGGGAAAAACAACTCTTGCTCAGCTTGTCTAAAATGATGCCAGCTTAGAGGCGTCTTTTGATCATAGGGTCTGGGTATGTGTTTCGATGACTTCGACGCTGTTAAAATAACCAAAACTAGTTTACAATCCATCAATACTTCCTCACCTGATGTGAATGACTTGAATTTACTTCAAGTCAAGATCAAGGAGAAGTTATCCAGAAAAAAAAGGTCCTACTTGTTCTAGATGACCTCTGGAATGAGAGTTACGATGACTGGACCATCTTACAGTCTCCCTTTGGAGCAACGACGAAGATTATTGTAACTACTCGCCAGCAAAATGTTTCATCTATTGTGAATCCAATGAAAGCATTTCACTTGGATAAACTGTCACATGAGTATTGTTTGTCCATATTTACTCAGCATGCATTAAGAGCAAGAAATTTCAGTGGACATCTCCAAATTAAACAAGTTGGAGAGAACATAGTGAGAAGATGCAACGGCTTACCTTTGGCAGCAAAATCCATTGGAAACTTCTTATTCACAATTAAGAATCTTGATGAATGGAAAAGAATATATGAGAGCGAGATATGGGACTTACCCGAAAATCAATGTGGCATAATTCCTGCTCTGCGATTAAGCTACCATCATCTTCCTTCTCATTTAACACGTTGCTTTGCATACTGCTCCATATTTCCAAAAGATTACGAACTCGAAGAAGAGGAGATATCTTGTTATGGCATGCAGAAGGTTTCTTGCAACAAAAAACTAAGCATCAAATTAAAGATGTTGGAAAGCAATATTTCCAAGATATAATGTCAAGGTCATTTTTTCATATATCTGGTAAAGATGAATCTCGGTTTGTGATGCATGACCTTATCAACGATTTGGCTCAGTTAATTGCAGGATATGTAAGCTGCAAACTGGAGGACAATAAGCAACATATGGTTTCACATCGTTCTCGTCATTCATATTATAGTGTCAGTGAGTATGGCACAACATAAAGATGTTTGAAGCATTTGATCAAGCAAATTCTTTGCGTACTTTTTTACCATTAAAGCAAGACTATTGGCGTTCTTATTTTCTGACAAATGTTGTCTTGGCTGAATTATTGCCGAGAATTAGCTACTTAAGGGTGCTTTCTCTGTGTGGATAATAACCGAGTTGCCTGATTTTTTGGGAAAATTTAGCACATCTACCCTACTTCAATCTTTCCCATACTCAAATCAGATGTTTGTCTGATTCCTTATGCACTCTTTACCATTTGGAAACTTTATTATTAAACAAGTGTTTTAGGCTTCAAGAATTACCTTCGAAGATGGAAGATCTTGTTAATTTGCATTATCTCGATATTATTAGAGGTGCGGACTCGATAAAAAGGATGCCTTTAGGAATTGGCAATGTAACCAATCTTCAAATGTTATCTGATTTTGTTATAGGTGAAGGTAATGGACATAAAATTGGAGAATTAAAGAATTTGTCAAACTTCATAGGTGATTTTTGTGTTTCGGGATTAGAGAATGTTAATGGTCAAGATGCAAGGGAAGCCAGGTTGAATGAGAAATCGGGGATCATTACATTGGTACTACAATGGAGTAGAGACTTCCAGAAACCTATAAGGGAGAATGAAGTTGAAGGAGTTGGACTCACTTGGTCCTCAGGAAAAGCTTGAGCAACTCGTCATCAAGAATTCGGTGGCGCAAAGTTCCCTACTTGGATAACGGATTCTTCCTTGAAGAATTTGTGGTCTTTGGAGCTACGCAATTGCAAAAGCTGCAAATCACTAGCACCGGTTGGAAGGTTGCCATCGTTAAAAATTCTTACAATTGGTGGTTTAGATGAGGTGCGCAAGATTGGTATTAAGTTGCTTGTAGAAAATATACCAATTGCATTTGCATCTTTAGAGACATTGTCTTTTGAGAGTCTACCAAACTGGGAGGAATGGTGATGGACAAGTTTCCCAACCTCGGTAAACTTTCTATCAGAGCATGTCCTCAATTGTTGGGAAGGTTGCCAAGCCATCTTCAATCCTTGCAGATACTTGAAATCGAAGGGCACGGGAGATTGGTAGTTTCAATTTCAAGTTATTCATCACTGTGTGAATTAAGAGTGTGGTGGATGAATGCTCATCTTCTTCACCTGTGGAGGAGGTTACCTCTTTGCAAAGTGTCTCTTTCGAGCACTTCAAAGTTTAGTATTGCAGAATGTCGAGGTTTGCAAACTCCAAAGATTTCGGAACTAATGATTCCAATTTGCTAGCAAAAGTGGCGCATTCCTTACAAGAATGAATCTACAAAGATGTCCAAGCTTGGTTTGTTTTGAAGAGAGTAACTTCCCCCTGCTCTAAAAGAAAATATAGGAACGACGTTGCCTCCTCCTCGATTTCAAATTTCAAGAATTTGGAATCCATGTGCTTTCAACACCTCGCCTCTCTCGAAGAATTGCAAATTAGCAATTGTCCCAAGCTCACTTCTCTTCCGAAAAAACACATGCTTCTCTTGCTTGGCAGGCTATATATTTTTTACATTGATGATATAGGTTTTATCCCGAGGGAAGTGTATTCGAAGTAAAGCTACAAAAATTGGGTATAATTTGTCCACACTCAAACCACAGGTTCCAAACCATTATAGAAATAGAGCAATTTCATAGTCTTTTCTGATAGATGTATATGATTATTCTCCGGAACAAGATGATAATGGCTTATGTAACTTTTGCAGATGTTGAAGAAAGTGTTGTTTTCAAAAGATGGTTTCAAGAAAAACAATGGGCATATTTAATTGATCTGCTTTACACAAATAATGGTAACTGTGCAGATGTGTTGTAGCATGAACAATGCAATATTCACAGCCAAAGGCCTCAAAATTTGGAACCACAAGCAAAGCTCAGCCTTCCAAAGCACAACCAATGTTTCCAAAATAGGTGACCAAAATAATATATGCCAAAAATAAAAGGGACACTAGTGTTGTATACCCTCATAATAAAGAGTAAACTACATATTTAGTCACCCAACTATTTCTTTGATTCTATTTTGGGCACTAAACTATTTTTTTCAAAATCACCACTAAACTTACATTTTTTTTCTGTTTTGGTGTCCCGTAGTTACAAACTAAACATAACTGCTAATGTGATATTTTTTTTTATTTTTTTATGATTATGTGACATTACCTTACGATGACACATTAATATCACTATTAGTTTTTTACCGACAGGTGATCAAAACGGGACAAAAATGTAAGTTTAGTTATATTTTATAAAAAAAAATAGTTTGATGATCAAAATAAAACCGTGAGAATAACTAGATAACCAAATACAAAATTTACCTTATAATATTTTTGAACAATACACATATTTTAACTAACATAAACTTTTTTAAAAATGTAATCACATATAAAATTTAGTAAAAATACTATTAATAAAATAAATAAATAATCGAAAAAATAAATTTCAAAGATCTGCTTGTATTTACCTCCTATGAAACTGTGGTCCCACGACTGCTTCTGAAAAATAAAGTAAAGACGGTATCCATAACATAATCGCCGGTATTTGTCAATATTTAGGTGCAACAACAATTATTGTTATGGTGAGGACCCATTGAAGAGCATGTCCATGTCTGCACTTGGACAGTTGTATTAAGACACTTGTGTCCTTTTTTATGGTACTAACAAAATGTGTCAATTGGCCCCATCATCTATTATATCGCTCAGTCTCACTCCCATAAATATATATCTTAACAATTTAATTGTCAAGTTCATGGTTGAATTATTACTTTG